GTGTTACAGGGTCGAGAGTGATGGGAGGCAGTGGTTCTGATTGGATAGTCACGAGCGATGCTCTAAGGAGGTAGCTTTTGAGCTGAGGTCTGAGAGGAGAAGAGCAAAGGATGCAAATATCTCAGGGAAGTATTAGAGCAACGCATGACTGCCAGGCTTCTGGTCCAGAGGGCTGTTTGCATGGCTGTGCTTCTAAGATAGAGAAAATGTAAGTGAAGCAAGAAGCTCATGAGGGAGCAAATGAGTCACTTCTACCACTTATTTATTGACCAAGTGGTCTTGGGCATGTTACTTAACTTATTGGAATTAACGTGTATACATACACACAATGACCTCATTCATGAGTGGGAATAATACCAACTTTCATAACTCATGGGATTTGCATTGCTCAAATAAGCTTAGATGGGCAGAGGCGCTTTGAAAACTGTAATATGCTGTAACAATTGAGTTTTAGTCTTTGCTCATAGACATTTAAGCTCTTTCATGAAGCATGGATTTTTAAAGATTACTTTGATTTCCACATGCTGTCAAAATCCATAATAATAATAATAACAACAACAATAATAATAAATAGTCCGATACTGGAAGAGAGGAAAGGCACTAATCTTTTCCTTTGGGAACAAGTTACAATAGAGCCAATAGACCCTTTCTGAGCATTGGGATCTGCTAATCAAGTGGTGAATTCTTGCGTTAGGTTTTAAGTGAGATAGCAATCTTTTTGACCTCACTCAGATTGAACATCTTCTTTTGTCAAGGAAAATACCTTCCTCTTCTTTTACTCCTTTTAATCCTTGTATCCCATTCCATTGTCTCGTGTATACACACACACAGCCCTACAGGCAACCATTCTGGTGGGTTTAATGTATCCTTGTGTTTATGTTTCCTGCAAAATGCTATGCATTTTTCATTTATGTAATAGTATTGAGGAGAATTTAAATCCCTACTCTCCATAGTGTTCCACAGATTTGCTACCTAGCGATTGTAAACACTGAGATTATCCAGAAGGTTTTATTTTTCCAATGAGCCAGTACTTTCTGCTTTTCTCTGAAAAGCATCCATTTTGCAATAGTCAGGAGTTTGTCTCTGAGCCCAATTTTGTGCCTCCTGGTATTTTACTCTATCTCCTGGAATTTGGTTGATGATACATTCAGCTCAAGGGAGTCAGCCAACTGTGAAATAAAAATACTCAGACAGCTTCAGCAAATGGTGATTATTGATCTATTCAGTGAGATTCTGGCTGGGCTTTTCAGTTGCTCCCTTGAGCCACTCTTCTTTTAAATCTGGAAGCTAAAGAGAGTTCTCAAGTGATACAGTGCAATCACGATTTCCTGAACCACACCGCTATTGGAGTGTCAGTCTCCTCAACAGGAGGAGAGTCGGGTCCACTGCAGCCCCAGATTCAACAAACTCCTCTTCCTGCAATTTCCTATAATGAGTCTTGAGCTGAACCAGATGAAACTGCATTTATACCAGTTCATAATTGGCCAGCTGTTAAAATGGGAGCCAGCACAGATCCCAGAAAAGCTGGGGGAAAAACTCCTCTCAAAAAAATTTCCGTTTCAAAAATGATTATTATTCTGGATAGCATTTTATGTGACTATTTCTCAGTTTTGTATCAGCCAGGAGATGAACACCTGCAATTAATTATGCCACGGAAGCATGTTGGCCTATTGTGAGACATATGTTGGAAGGTTCACCCTTCCACAGCTTGTAAGTTCCAAGAAATTTGCAAATAACTACTTGGCATTACTTTGTATCAGTCACCCAACTCAGAGGCAGATTATTTCTTTGGAGAGTGCACAGTGCCTCTCAGCAGAGTTGCTGTGAAGCTAGACAGAACTGGTTTCTGTCCTAGCATCCACTGGCCTTGTGACTTTTACCACTAGCACTTCTTCAATGTTTCTATCTTTAAATGGGAACGAATATACCTACCTTATAATCTTATAAAAGTGACCTAAGTTAACTCGCATGAAGTGCCTGACAATGTCTGGCACAATGTGCTCAACACATGTAAGTCTCTTTTTGTTTCCTTAATGAAGATACTGAAAACCATCTAAAAAAAGAATGTGAATACCGAGGAGAACAGGTGGAGCTATTATAGATCCATACTGCTATGGGCTTTGTGTTCCCGCATCTAAAATAGGAGTCAGAAAAGCCGGGGGTTGGGGGGGGGTTGGGGGGCGCAAGTTCAGGGGCTATGGGTTTTTATAACATGCGCTAAATAAGAATAGTTCATACAAGTTTAACTGGTTGAAAATAATATATCATGACCCATGAAAATGATATGAAATTCAAGTTTCATTGCTCATAAAATGGTATGGAACACAGCCGTGACTTCTCATTTATGTATTATTTATGGCTGTTTTTGTACAACAGCAGAGTTGAGTAGTTATGAAACAGAGACTGTGTGGCAAAGCCTAAAATATTTATTATCTACTTCCTTAAAGAAAAAGTTTGCCAACTCATCTTCTAGAGTTTTCTACGGCACCCTCCCTTGGGAATGGGCACAGTGCAGTTCAACAATAGCTGATAATCCAGAGTGAGAACCACTTTTAAAAAATACCTCTACCTGAGGCACCCTGAAATGTCTTACTTTACATCTCCAAGGCGACAATAAAAATGTCTTACCAACTACCCCCATGACCAAAGTGAGAAGAGACAGAAGGACATGGCTGGCTCACTGGCCTTGCTTGTTAGCAAGCACACGAGCCCCTGGGATGCCTCCGTGTCAGGGCATCATCTTACGTTCACTAAACAACCCAGTCATGTAGCACGTGCCCTTGGACAGTCACCTCTTCACCTTCCATCTGCTGACCCAGCTCCCCTCTCGGCTCCAAGCTTGCAAGTATGTGTAAGCACAGCAGGGAGACCTGGATGGAGCATGCTGTGATTCAGGCAAGGGCTTTTTTTTTTTTTTTTCTTTATTGATTTTAGAGAGCAAGGAAGTGAGAGGGAGAGAGAGAGAGAAACATCGATGAGAGAGAACATCGATTGGCTGCCTCCTGCATGCCCCCCACTGGGGATCGGGCCCACAACCTGGGCATGTGCCCTGACCGGGAATTGAACCAGCGACCTCTTGGTATATGGGTCAATGCTCAACCACTGAGCCACACCAGCCAGGCACGCAGGGTCTTTTGATAGTAGTGTTTCCCACCCTCATTTTGCGAAAATTGTTGGAAACTGTTTCTTTTTCAAAAGTGCTATCATATCAAGGGTACCAGGGGAAGATTCGGAGGGAAATTTTCAGAATTGCTACATTTTTGTTCTATATGACTCTGGAAAGCGGTGTTGTCAACCAGGTGTGTGTCCCTTCATGGTATCCAAACAGACACTTGCTGGGAGCCTTCTTTGCCCCAGTCCGGTGCTGTCTACAGCTTACTTTGTTATGGAATGGACAACACGGGCCAACATCAATCCCGAGACTCCGTGATAAATGCTGTATGCCTTGGGGGAAAGTAACATGGTACTGGAGAGAACGTAATATATAAGAGATTATTTAGTTGGTAGGGGTGGAGGGAAGAGGTCAGGAAAGGTTTTCTGAGAAAGTAACACCTGTAGGAAGGTAGTTGCTAACAAGCCTTGGATCTGGGGGGAGAACATCCTTGGTCTCTGCGGAAGCCCTGGAGGAGGCAAAGCTCAGGGACCCAGCAAGGAGGCGGATGAGAGCAATGTGGCTGGATTGTAATGTATGAGGAGCGCCTGGGGTGAGCCCAGAAAGGCCACGGACCACCTACACCAAGTGGGCCAGGTGAAGGGACGGGGCTCGTCCTCCAGCTTGGGGAAGCCGCTGGAGAGAAGAGACGTGATCTGACTCATGTTTCGCACAGATCACTCGGCTGTGGCCTGACAATGGAATTTAGATGGGAATGGGGAGGGAAGAATGGGCAACTGCAGAAGCTGAGAAATTAGCAGTTTATTAGAGTATAAAGAGGGATGGAGGGTTGCCCTGGCCGGTTTGGCTCAGCGGTTGGAGCGTCGGCCTGCGGTACAGAGAGACCCGGGTTCGGTTCCCACTAGGGGCGTGTACCTCGGTTGCAGTTTGTCCCCGGCCCTGGTTGGTCGTGCGGGTGGCAGCCACTCGATGTGTCCCTTTCACATCGATGTTTCTCTCTCTCTCTCTCTTCCTCTCTCTCCCTCCCACTCTATCTGAACAAAAAATGGAAAAATGTCCTCGAGTGAGGATAAAAAAAAAAAAAAAAAAGAGGGATGGAGGGTTGAACCAAGATATTGTGGTGGGAATGGGAAGAAGTGGTGAGATTTCAGGTGTATTTTCGAGGCAAAAATCAACAAGACTTGATAGCAGGTTGGATGTGGGTGGTGAGAGAAGAGGAAGTGTGCACTGTGTCCTGGCATACAGGCTACCAGGGGACTCACTTAGCCACCCAGTGTGCTTTCTGGACTAAGACATGACATATCTCTGCCCATCCTTAGCAACAGCACAGCCATACCTCCAAGGTGAAGGACTGGATGTGCTTTTAGATCTCTTTTTATTTTTTATTTTTCAATTACAGTTTACAGTCAGTATTATTTTGTTTTAGTTTCAGGTGTACAGCATAGTGGTTAGATGATCATATACTTTACGAGGTGATCTCTGCCCCCCTCCCCCTGGTATTTCAAGTACCTACCAGACACCATACAGAGTTATGGCAATAGTATTGACTGTATTCCCTGTGCTGTACTTTGTATCCCTGTGACTGTTTTGTAACTCTCAATGTGTTCTTCTCCATCCCTTCGCCTTCTTCACCCAGCCCCCAAACCCCTAACCTCCTGGATATTTTTTCTTAAGTAGAAATACTACAAAGTATGGTGCTATTATCACCACCTTATGGAGTAAATGGATTGTGTGGGTCAGTGAGGATTTAATAATTACTTACAATATTTTCTGTGGGTAAATGGAGTTGTAACCAACTGAGAAATGAACCTATTGAACAAAACCTATTTATAAACTGGAATTAGCTTCATCCCGGAAAACATGTTTGACATCAAGTTTGTGTCCCCAGGCCTGTCAGAGAGTTTTCCATGCCGAGAGGAGCAAACACCTTCTGCTACTGTATAAAAGCCAATGTCATTGTCACTGGAGGTAAGAGAATAGTTCGTGTTGCACAGAGATTTCCTACTTTGCAAGCTGGGCTCTCCTAATTAGCACAGTACAGAACTTTCATGAAGTGGTTGAATTTTACTGCTGGAAAAACCTTTTCGAGAATTTAAGCATGTATATAAAGTCAAATCCATCTGCCTTGTGTGTGTAGCTTCTGGGTTCTTAGAAAGGCCTCCCCTTGCCCAAGAATATGTGAAGCAAATTCTTCTATATTTTACTATAATTTTTTATTGTTTCATTTTATAGTTTAACTTTAGTTCTTGAATTTATCTAGAACTTACTTCAATGTGTGAGAGCACGTGTTCTTAGCCTGTGACCCATGCCTAGACTTTAAAGGAATCCTGCAACCCCCTAAAGCTGAATGATTTGTGTGTCTATGTGCATTTTTCTGGAAAGTTCAAAATTTTATCAAATCGTCAAAGGGCGTCCGTGACCAAAAACGTCAAAAGCCCATGGTTTCAAGTTAACAGAGAAGAAGGCCATAGATATGTCCTTAAAAGTGCCAACATTTAAGGGCTAAGTAGGGTAGAAGACAGGAAACCAGGTTATCTGCTGAGAGTAAAGGCTAAGATGATGCCATAAGAACCTGCGAAAGGTAGAAGACTGACTATTCTCAGGGGCTCAGACTCCTCATCTGTAACGCTGGGTTCTAGTACAGGGCGACCACTTCGAGCCTGGGCTCTGGAGTCAGATTGCTTAGGAACAAATCCTGGCTCTCTTCCCAGCAAGTTGTGTGGCCTTTGACAGGTTACTCAACTCCTCCAAGCTTCAATCTCATCTGTAAAGTGGAGTTGATAGTAGTACCTACTCATAAGGCTGTTATAAAACTAAGCAAATTCGAATAAAGTCCTTAGCACAGTGTCTTGCACCTAAGTGTTCACTACAAATTTGCTAATAATAATATCACACTTTTTAAAAAACCCACCTACTTCATATGGTGGTGTTTAGGTTAATTGGGATAATGTATGCCTGGTGCATAGTAAGTTCTCAACAAATATTAATGCAATCTATTTACAACATGTAAGCAAAATTACTTTGACAGATGTGTGGAGGTTCTGTTGGAATAAAATGACACCTGAGATTCTGTTTGGGAGGCTGTTACTGAAGTCATGAGTGACAGATGGAAGAACTCTGATCATAGGTGTTGTGGAGAAAGAAAGAGCCAGTCTCAAAGACATGGAAATACATTATTTATAAAACATGAAGACAGAATAATACTGGAAGTTCATAAGAGGGATCACCAGCCCTGAATGTGTAGGGCAGGAGACAGCCGTTGTACTGATGATGGTCACACAGAAGAGGAGGCTCCATGGGGAGGAGAGTAGACCAAACTCAATTTTATTTTTAATTTTTTTCAAGTGAAATGATTCCAATTTATTGTACAAATACTAGTGATTGATACACCAAGGAAGTCACAAGTAGACTAATGATAAATGATAGCACACTGCATCGTGGGCTAAGGTGACCATGGAGCGAGAGATCAAGGCTGGATGAACAGGAGAGCGTTAGGCAGTCTTCATGGAGAAGAAGTCATTGTTAGACTTCCTAAAGGATGTTCCCTTCATGGGAAGATCCAGCGGTAGGTTGGGATGCGAGGGTTCCCAGGCTGCCTGTGTCTGGAAGAGGAACTCCCATCAGCAACTCAAGGAGGTCAAGGTCACCTTCAAGGACACAAAAGCCAGGTAGACTTGAAAGAAGTAAATGAACAAATTAGAAACCCAAAGAAACATCAAGAAAATGGCCTTCAAGCAGAGAAAGACAAGTATCATGTGATCTCACTTATTTGTGGAATATAATGAACATAACAGTCTGAGGAATGGGGTAGTCCCAGAGATGTGGAAGTGGGGTTTAGACTGACAATCCCCAGAAGAGGGGGTGGTGGGGAAGAGATAAACCACAGAACTTATATGCATGTGTGTATGAACAATGGACATGGACAACAAAGCTGGGGACAGGGCAGGGAGGGAGGGGAAGGGAGGTATCAGTGGGGGAAAAAGGAGAAACATCTGTAACAAAAATTAATTAATAAAAATAAAGAAGACATAAATAGAAAAATATACCATGAAAAAAAAGAAAGAAAGAAAATGGTCTAGACTGGAGAGCTGTACTTTAAAAAGGAAAAGAGAAAAAAACCCACAATTTTTGTAAAAGGAAGAGTCATCCAAAAAAATCAACAAATGTACCATTTGCCAATAGTTTACAGCAAAGGTATTTATTAAAGAAGCCGAGATGTTAAATGTACTGTTGACCATTTCCATGTAAGATGTTGTCAAATTCCTTCCCCAACACACACAGAGCAGACAATGTTTGCTTCCTGCCAGAGTACCCGGCCTCAGCCCGGGGTGCTGCTATTGATAATACAAACACAGACTGGCTGATCTCCCTGAGGGAATAAAGCTAATCTTTTTCAAGCACACTGTGTATTTAAAGTTTATATTTAAATCTATTCTGAGCTCTGGGGCTTCTACAACACTTAACGTAAAATTAACTTATAGTTCAAATATTATTTTTATATAATAGTCTACTGGAAGGCAAAGCAAATAGAAAGCATGCACCAGAGGCTAGAAGGCTGACAACGAGCCAACTGCATGGTTTTCAACAATCACTCAATCTCTCCCAATCTCCTCGTCGGATAAAATGAGACAGTTGGACTCCTAAATTCCAGGATCCCTTTGAGCCTAAAATACTCTGATGCCATTGTTTTAAGAAATTCCTGCTCATAGGGAGTTAAACTAAAAAATCCTTTGGAAAATTTGGAACCCAATTTGCCAATTAGATATCACTCAATGCATAGTCACAGCTTTGGGTACTCTGCAAAACAGCATTAATTGGCTGCAGGCTTCTAGATTTCAACTAAAGACATCAACAAAGGACAGGCATGTGGCTAAGAAGTCTGCAGAGTAGTTTGGGGGCCTTGGCTTGGACTGACAGTGAGTTTTCTGAAGCTTGATAGTGATGATTTCCAAATTGGAATCTGAATGTTTGAACTGTATTAATTAAAGTTGTCATTAAAGCCCTGGCCAGTTTGGCTCAGCAGTTAGAACATCAGCCCTTGAACCAAGGAGTCCCGGGTTCGATTCCGGCCAAGGGCGTGTGCCTCAGTTGCAGTTGGTCCCCAGCCCTGGTTGAGGTTGTGTGGGAGGCAACCAATCAATGTGTCTCTCTCACATAGTTTCTCCCTCCCCTCCCCCCTCCACCTACACTCTATCTGAAGATAAATGGAAAAATATCTTTGGGTGAGGATTAAAAAAATAAAAATAAATAAATTAAAGTTGTCATTAAAGACCTCCATGCCAAGTCTAGAACACATAGGGAACAAATACGAAATTGGATGTTTTCCAAAACAGAACTGGAAAGCTTGTATCACAATTCCTTGATCCCCATTGCCCCTCCCTGAGTTGATGAATGTCTTGGATTGTTACTTGCAGTGGAAATGGGCAGGTTTCCTGGCCTGGACCTCACGTCAAAGGAGTGGTGGGTGATCCGAGAGATGAGGGAGGAAGGAGAGCATAGTGATGCTGACGGAAGAAGCAGTAAAATGGCCTGAGACTCAAACCTCCATGGGTGCTGCACCACTATGTCTTCGGTTAGGTGTGTTCACCTCCTTCATCTCAAAGCCTGCCACAAAGCCCTTTGAGAAAGCAATACCTAAATGTGTGGCTAAAGGGAGATTTGATTTCCCAAATCTGATGCGCTGTCACACAAATCTCACCAGCTCCTTTGGACAGCCCGTGTTCTCACACAAAAGAACACAAAGCATAAGAATTGACGAGCTTTCGTATCCTTTGTCATCTTAAGTATTTCAATCATTTCTAGGGGGAAAAATGTGCCTGGGAAAGCTCTGGGATTCAAACCACTTCAAGTGGATTAAGGCGTTTGACTCTCCTTAATCTCAGTGTTCATTGTATTCTAAGATCCCCATCTACAATTTTGGAAACTTATTAATTATAGGTTTTCTAGCTCCCTTACAAAAGCAAGAGAGCATTTTGCAGTGGAATGACAAGCAACTAATACTTTTCCCCATGCATAATTTATTGGATTGTCACAGTTAGGGAGCCTCTATTAGTTGAAAATGCAATCCCTCAAAACTGAAAACACGTTTTTCTCTGGGGAATACTCTTGTTGACTAGGGACTCAGCCAAGCACATATACCAGCTGACGACTCAAAATATACCATGAAAGCAGCTGTCTAGCTGCAACTAACTGTGTTAAACATGCAGGGATATTTGATGACCTTAAAAACAAACAAACAAACAAACAAACAAACAAACAAAAAAACAGAAGTCTTTGCATGGGGGGAAAAAGAAAGGCCAAACCAGGACAAGGTATTTACCAAAAATTTGCAAATTTTCTGAGCATTATTTTGGTGACCAGCAAGAATTCTCTTTTACTTATTTATTTATTGTTGACAGTATTACAGATGTCCCCCCTTTCCCCTCTTTGTGTCCCCTCCACCCAGTCCCTGCCCCACCCAGGCCTCCCCCACACTGTTGTCTGTGTCCATGGGTTATGCAGATATATATTTGATTAATCTTTGAGTAATCTCTTCCCCCTCCCCTCCACCCCACCTCGGCTCTGAGCTCTTTCATTCTGTCCCATGTATCCATGCCTCTGGACCTATTTTGTTCATCTCTATTGGCCATTTTAAGAGTTAAACTCCTAGTTTGGAAGGTCAAGTGTATAAAATCAATTTTCTGCATGCAAGATGCCTTGGGGGCTCTGCATACGTTGTTAATGTTTCATTCAAGAAATATCGATTGCACAGCTGTTGTGGATTAGGTATTATAAAACATAAAGATAAGGTTTTATTTCTATCCTTAAGAATTCAAAATCTAATAGTTCAAATAAGACATGTTTACAAGTGGCTATCATACAAAGTGGAGCATGACTCAACAGATATAATAATAATAATAATAATATAGATGGAATGCTGTAGGCATTTAGAACTTAATATCATGCCCCCTTCTATTTATTCTGGCTCC